TTAGGGCAAATTTGAAACACTGTAATTCGGTATATAACGGTTAGCTTGTACTTCTTCCACTGATGAACTGATTAACGGGAGCGCCGTGCCCCGTGCCGGAGGTGTTTACTGCGATCGGGAATTTAATTTCGGGAAGGTAAATTGTGCCTCTAATTTAGTGGAGGCCCCGTTATGTTTAGACACTAATTTTGTGCGTGTGGCTTTCACGGGGGCCGCCAATTTAATTCCGCGTTAAGTAGAGCCCGAGCGCATAGAGGGAGCTGCCTCTCGTTTCAATTAAGCGCATTATTACAGAGGCTCACACTCACATCTTACATGGAGGGAATTTTCATTGTTCCTTTAAAACTTCGGGACCTGTTGCTGTTGGAAAGGCCAAAATCCTGCGAATTAAGATGGCAGAATGGCCTAATCTCCGTTTCCAATTAGTGCGAGGAAGCGCGCTCACTGCTTATTTTTAAGTTGAAATCGCGCGCCTCGTAAAGTGGAGGCTTTATGGGGCCCGAGCAGTATTTATACAGTTAAGGGCCGATTTGCGATTTAATTTGATTGTGAGGCGCAATGTATGGGCCGTCGCCAAAAATAGTCTCCCTTTAATACTTGGGTAGTAACGGCTCGTTTTGCTCTCATTTGAAGCGTTCCGGCCCACACAAATGCAAATGTTCGCTTTCATGTCACGTAGCGCAAGTGGGGGTGCCTTTTTTACCTCTTAATAAGGCCGCACTTTTCCATATACCGGCACTTTCTCTATTTGTTGCAAACACGCTTGTCGGATCAAGTTTGAACATGTGCAGCAACGAAGCGAAGCCCCCTGACATGCTCGCTTATAACAACCCCAGGCAATAATTCAATTCGATTAGTAAATATGCACGTGTACGTATCGGGCTTGTTCCATGTAAATGGAAATTCGAATCAACAAATATTTGCAGTGGTACAGTCCAAAATGGGGTCTCTGGATTATTCATGGGCCCGCCAGGCCATTATGTGACGGCATGTTTGTTTTAGCCTGCTTGCGAAGGAAATTTAATTGAATGGGATTTCGTTTTTCCTCTTTTTTCCTTTTTTGACAGCGCCCAACCAGTGAACCACTTGCGGGCTGTCATAATTGCGGACCGCACGTCATAATGACAGAGCGGAAAGTCTGACAGCCGCTAAAATCGACGCCTCCTTGATGGTGCCCCATTGATTCCCATTGTTCGAGCAATTAGACTTGTAAATCATTGTGAATTGGGGCCCAAATCAAATATGTACAGTGGCTGGTGGCCATTGCCGCTCAGCCCGTTCGGGGTGTTTAATTAATAACCTCATTAGAATGGCGTACAAATGGGCGAAGTTCCGAACAGCCGTGCGGGTCACTAAATAACGTAGAAATGTATTATTTAGACGCTAGTTTTCGCTGTTGATTATTAATGATTTAATCCATTCAAAGCCACATTGGGTATCTGTCAAAAATTTGACAGTGCTTCCGTCGCCATCAACCTGTTTTCCTCAAGAACTTCATACATTGGAAATTCGCCCCTTGATATTGAGAGCCTACCACAATTTGTCCTTGTTTGGTTTCCTTTTGTGGCAGTTTCGCTCATAAATGAATGACGATTAATAATTTTAAATTGTTGGGGGCCAGACATTTTTCTGCGACTTTTAATAGCCGCATTTGTTTCATTCGCTCATTCCTGTTGCTGTCGTTGATAAACGCATTGGTCCATTTTGGGGGCGCAAGAGGCCCCCGCCTCTTAGCGTGCTGAGCTTCAACCTCATGTCAATTTTATGTCAGTTGACCGTGTGACACATAAAGCCCTTGTTGACTTTTCGATTATGTCTTTGTTTAGCTTGAGACTATTTGCGTGTGTGTGGTTCAACTTTATTAGGGCACATTCGATTTGAAGGATTTGTTGTCATTTGCTGTGTGTGAGCATGTGTTTTTAAGCAAAGGTTTGGTATGTTTTTCAATTTAAGCATATATATAACATACAAACAATGGAAGGTTACAAAATTTTTTTCTGGTCTTACCTGGCACATATCAGAGTGTGTCGGTGCAGGAATAAACACGTTGAAACCAGCACGTTTGTCCGCGTGCCAGAAGAGTCTGGGATGAGATCGGCGATCGGGAGGCGCTCCAACCGCACTCTACGCAACCGAACCAAATTCTCCGCGTAAACTGCATCCCGATGGAATAGCGGCAGCCTTCAGGAGGCCGGAGGTCCTGTCGGATGCTGTCGCGACGCCTCGTGCGATCTCGGCTCATTTTCAGCCGCTCAACTTGTCCCAATCGCTCTATTTTGGAGGTACGAAACGGTTCCTTTTGTCCCAGTCGCTTTTTTGAATCGGCGTCATCCAGAAAGGATTTCTGGATGTCATTTGAACACGACTGTTCTATTTATATCCAGAAACTTTATGCAAGACACCCGCTCTGGTTTCTATTAATGACTGGAAACAATACACTGCGAAGACGGTATTAAATACTAAGAACATTGAAATCTGGGTAAGCGGGAGGTTTTCGAACAGGCGCCCTAATAAATCAATTAAATTCATCCATTATGTCAGTAATACTGCGGACTCCGGCCTGTCCCGTAGACCCGATAAGGGTGCACTCTCGTATTAGTAAATATCAGAGATTAATTCGCTCTCTGTTCATCTCCACTGCCTCCTTAACATCCATGAGGAGGAGGGCAGGGTGGGAAAATGTTTGATGAGTGTCGTCGTTAATGATCGCCGAGTATCGCAACCTGGCAGATTTACTGGGCTAATCATTCATTTGAGCCTTGTTTCGCTTTCCATCATTAGGCGAAACTCCACCAAACAGGGTAAATTTGAAAAATTAGCGTCTGGAAAACCGGTAAATTGGCCCAATGGCGACCTTTGCCACGTTGACAAGCTCATGAAATTGTCTCCTATGTTCGCACCTCCGCAACTAACCCATTAGGCCTCGGTTGGTGCATGTGACATGATTAAGGGCCCATTCACGTGGCCCTCATTAGGCGACAAGTTCGGCGAACAAGTCACTTTCCGAATTCGCAATTGTTCGAACTGAAGCCGCCGTTTCCGATTGGGCGCTTGAAACGTTTCCCGTGTTCATCCCAAAACAAAGTTTTGCGAATTTGTCACCAAACGAATCGGCCTCGTTGATTATTAATCGGAACGGGGGCTTGGGAAGCAGCAAACCAAAGTAGGCCTGGGTAGCTCGGAATTTTTAGGAGTTGGCGCAGTGCTGCGCCAACCTGAGGCACCGGCGCAGTAACTCGGTTTCTTTGCTGGGGCAATGTTGTTTTAATGTCAGTTATTAGTAATGTTTTTAAAGTTTCTTCAAAATATTAGAACTTTCCAGTTTCAGCAGTTACTCTTTCTTCTAAACGCTCAATCTTCATAAGTTTTGCTTAAATATCCCTACTGACAATCTTAGGACGTTGATTGAAGGAGTATACAGGGTGATTCAAAATTGGCGTCATTCCTGGCGCCAATTTTTGGCGCTGTTATAGGAGTACAGAAAAAATAGTAAAATAAATTAATTGTTATTAAAAACTGAGAAATTTGCAAAAAACTATATCAGAAATATGACAGCAATGTTTTTCAAGGTAATCTGCCTAATTAACATTGCGCAAATACCTGTTGCTTCGTAATTATTTAAAACTCCGGTAACCATGGAATTATACAGACTGACAATGAGATAAACAAGGATAAACGGTAAATTCAAGAATATTTGTTGACGAAATGTCAACCTGTTCTCATAACCTCGACTATGGGTGTTTTGTGCTCCAAACAAACTAGTGCCTGGGTAATCTCCTTATTATCCACTCTTATCAAGCAGCTTCTCGTATTCAGTTAATTAACTCGTGCTCCATTTGTATCTACTTGTGCTGTGTGTATCGTACAAACGTGGTAGGAATGTAGCCCTTTATTGCTATTTATTTCCAAACTAAGGGCACTCGCAGCTTTGGTCCTGGCGACGTTGCCAATCTGTGCGTAACAGGTGCTGAAACTAGGATAAGAGCGGTAAAACGCTGAAAAGCAAAGCAAACTCAGCCCTGGTTTAGCTCGTTATTCTAGAATAAATATTTTATCGGCTCTTCCCCGGAGGTTCCAAACTTTATAATGGACCCGACATAAAAGCTCTTTTATATTACAATAGATGAAATATGGCGGTTTTATTATGTAGGCGTTTTAATGTCCGTATTTATGCGTTACAGAATGTCCGGACAAATCGCACTGTGGTTATGGATTTTTATGGGCGTCCTAGTTAAAGTCCAGTTGCTCTGGCTCGAAAGACTGTTTCCTTTAAAGCGCAAGTTTTCCAGCCAATTATAAGCACGCCGGTGTCCACCGTCTAGATTCGAAGTGTCCCCAACTTCGACACGAGTGGGTAATAAAAATGTAAAGTGGTCTTGATGAACTGGTCGTACTTGCGCGCTGCGCTGCCAAAAAACTTCGCAACTCTCTCAAACACTCAGGAACGGGAAAGGCCAACTAAAATATGCATGGGATTCTGCACTTTTTTGCCAAGAGCTCGATCCTGATTGGGAAAGTGAGTAAATGAAGCCAAACACCACTCTAATCGAGCGAACGCTCTCAAAGTGCGGGATTGTGGGGTGAAATCCAATGAGACGATGCGTTGTTGCGAATTTTATTGTTACTTTAAAATTAAACAAATCGACTAGCTTTATTAGTAATTTTATCATTATTAGTGCAAAAATGATTAAAATATAGAGCTACTTAGCGAAACTAACGCCGCGCACGAAGTGAGAAGATCGGGGCAATAGAGTGGAAAAGTAAGAACTGGCTAAATGAACAGAGAACACAGTATATAAAAAAGTAAGCTGGTCGGGGAATTGTTGATCGTTTTGCGTGGAAAACTCCCGTTACACTTCACTTATTATCACAGACATATATACAAAAATAAATACAAACACTCGAATATGTACAAAATACATGATTTCGATGAAACTCAATTATTTGGACAATGTCAATCAATATCTCTCCAGTTCGATGGCGTTTCGGCAAAAAACTAGTTAGCGGAATTTTGTTTAATTGCGTTTGTTAGAGCTGGTTTACATTGCGAGAATAAGATGCTTGATGAGGGCGAACATCACTAAGACCGGCGTGCACACATAGAGCGATGATGAGGCGCTATCGGCCCGAATGGCGGTGTATTTTTGGTCCTCCTTCAGCTCGCTCACCAAGCGCGGCTCGCCGTTCTCATCCGCGTACAATCTGCAGAACGAAACATTCAGAACTAAGCCAGTTTTTCGTCGGGAATTCAATCACGTTCCCTCCGGACTAGAAGGGAAAAAAGTTTCCTTAATAAAACTTACCGAACATCGTCGGTGCGCTGATCGCCCACGATCAGTTTTTTATTGTTGTACATCTTGGTTTGTTTTTTCACGAGCTCCTCCAAGTTTTCGCTGTCGTCGTCGTAGTTGACTTTTATGAAGGACGTGATTGTCACCTCGAAGATTTTATTGGGATCGGCCGGCAGGGCCGAAATCGCTCGCTTTCTGCGCCCGTACCCGATCGAACCGTCGCTACATTCCACCTGCAATTGCAACAACAAGATAATAATAAACTCATTAACGAAACAATTAATGAGCATCAGAACAGAATGCCCAACCGTAAATATATGATCAAAATGATACTGCGACATTCTTTGGGTCAAAAGCTCTCTGCTAATAATGGCCAAAGTTTTTCAACAATATTGTCTTTTTCCGATGCATGATATGGATTTCTATAAAACTTTTTCTGGATTTGTTCAATCTAAGGCTCATTTTTGAAGAAACAACCGCGCTCATCCGCATTGGGCAAGTGGAACATTTTTGAGCGTCTTAGTCGAAAAACTACCAGAACTTTCTCCTGGCTAGGTGGAATCAATTCATTGTTTGGGTTAAGAATTCCAAAAGAGAATAAGAACGCAGGATCCAAAAAGAGACCAACGTAATTCGGAATGATCCAGAAATCTTGAGTGGCACTGAAATCAATTTCAATCGCAGTATAAAACTATGCAACTAATAAAAGGGCGCGCATATCGAACATCTTCTGTAATTCGGGTTTATGGATAAACGGTCGTTTATGGGATTCTCATCCCGTTTCGATGGAGAATTGTGCCATTATTGAGTACGTGTTTACTCTCATGGTGGTTTAATGAAAAAAAATGTAATGCAATATGCGTTAAAGTGATTTTTTTCCACCAAGTAAAAAGACACTCAAGAAGTTACCATTTGCCCAAAGTGGATGGACGCGGAAACTTCATCGAAATACGAGTCTTATCTCGGATTAAATTCACGGCAAGAATTACAATTCGTCAAGCGTTCTCTCGAAAAGAATTCCGTAATTTTTTGAAGAACTTTGGCCATCAATAGTTGGCGAGTCAGACGTTTTTCCTTAATAAAATTTAAGTTAATTTGATCATGTGAATACGGGACACCCTGTATAGAGTGTTCGTCAGTTGAAGGCTGTCGAAATATTTGACGTCAATTTTCCGGGTTTATCCGTCATTTCTGTCAAGCATTTACCCATGTTTCCTATAGATGTGACTGAAAAATTATTATGCATTTGAATTTATTTACTATTTTGGAGAAATACGTTTATTATTAAATACGCCACAAGTATGTTAGTTAGGCAAATAAGGGTTCTTTATTCTTGAGCAAAATTAATATTTTCTTATATACCGCGTATACAATAGAAGAAAGTATATGATGGTTTTATTTTATGTATTGAACCATGCAGAGCCCTTTTTGAAAAATGACTGTGTTAAATTATTAATAAGAAGTTTTTTACACTGTGCGAACTTAAGAAGCCACACTCTACATAAAAAAATAACTAAATAACTACACTTATTATTTGTCTTAAATCGTCGTTACTTTTACTGGGTACTTAAAAAAACTTTATTCATATTAAACTACCGCAAAATGTTTTAAATACAAAAAATAAAAACTTAATACAATTTATTTAAATATGCCCCTTCAATTTGTTATACAAAAATACTGCACGGCGCTAAATGCACATTTTTGCAAAAATATCTGGGTTACCGCTAGACGCGAGTCACAAAATCTACATCAAATATTACTACAACACGGCAACAGCGCACGGAGCCTTTTCAGCATTTAGACGTTCGCCATTTTTTGCGATTTTTGTTGGACGTACAGTGTTGCCAAATTTATAACAACGTTTTTTGCGAATATTTCGCTTTTTGGAAAGATTTTTTTTGAAAATCCGCACCATTCTGTATTGCAAAGCGTGACACGTACACCTCGAATCTCTTTGGATGGCAAGATGACAAGTTGTACGCTGTTGCGTCCGGGACAGCTTACCTAAAATGGAATCGAAATCGGTAATAACCTGTCAAGTTGCGCCAGAATTTCATATTAATTAAGGGGAGGATCCGACTTCAACGGCAACATATCACACGCCATTAAACTTTAATAAACCGTCCTTTGACGTTCTGGAAGATGAAGCCTCCTTTGTCGTGGTGCGTCGTCCATTAGCGTCAAACTTATGGGTGTATTAAAGTATCAAAGTAGTACACGGGATTTCGAATCAATAAAAGTCTTTGAACAGAACACTTCTTCCCTTAAAGTGCAACCGTTGATTCATTATTTTTTTTTGTGTCTATTTTCAACTATTATGGAACAATTGCAACAGAATTAAATGCACCGCGCAACTAAATAATCCAGCCAGATGTTGGATTCAGCCAACATTAAACCGGTTGAAATAATACGGCCGTTTGCATATTGTAATTTGTTTAATTATGTCGAGCCGCTTGCATCGATGGCATGGCAATCATTCCCTTTGCGGCATAAATAAATAAATATACATAGTTTCCAATATATGCAGGAAGTTGAATATGAATAGAATTTGTCACAGTCAATGTACTCAATTTGTTCAATTTTTCACAAAAAAAAACACGCATTTCCATGCTTTAATTAAATAATATCTATAGCCTGTGGTTTCGCAACAACCTTCAGAAAACCATACAATTATGCTACTCACCCCTTTGCATTTGTCCAGGCAAACGTTCACTGTTCCCTTGAATTGCACATATGTGGATTCGGGAAACTTAAACGCTCTGAACTTGGCCACTAGATTGTCGCCGTCCACCGTGTTGAAGTTCTCGAAAAGATACGGATCGGCCGAACATCTAAACGAAGAAAAAAGTTTGTTCGTTCAGATCGAAAATCGCGCTGATTGATAATCAGGCCGCGTTGAAAAATGGCGAGATTTATTGATGCTACTAAATCAACGTCAAACGGGGCAGTGATCAGAATGGAAAACACATCAAGTACTTAGTTTGCAATGAAATATAAATCAACTCTTGCGCCTGAGGAGATCGATTTCGTGCCGCCTCGGCCTTCTGTTCCGAATTTCCACTGTCTTGCAAAGGTGCACACCATTGAAGAAGAAACAATCCGAATCAACATTGACTATGACTATGTGTACATCGGAAATAGAGAGCAGAGAAGCCGAGCGAAAGTAACGATCTTTTTGTGTTTCTCTGGGGCGCACATTAAAAATCGACAAAGTCCCCGGACCGGAAAAAGCGAAACGATCTAAAACAAACGGAATCATTTACTACGAGAGCGGGTCTCGCTCAATTAGCAGGAAAAAGAATGGACGGCGACATTGGCGGACATCGGCCCAATTTTTCCTGTTCGAACGCTCATTTTTAATGGATCGACTCATTACCGAGTGGAGGAAGGAGAGCAATTAGGCGACCTCCAAAGTGGAGGCGACATGGCAAGCAACCCGCCTAACAACTCTGGACGTCTTCTTTGGGTAAATTCCCTGCGGGCTTCGCCCCGCAGCCAATAAAGCATTATTTTGTCGCAACCGTACACTCTTACATGTGGGAATTGATTCAATTTGCAAAGCTCTCTTTGCGGTAGTTTCCCGGATAGGGCTCGCCCTCATAAACATAAAGATGAATTTGCTCGCTGGCATTTAGTGACCCACACATTTTATTTTCGATTCAATTATCGGCCGCAATTTATTATCAGCCATTAGTTGCTCGTGGCCTTATCAGATCGGGCGCAAACTTTTTCGCCCGGATCGCCCAAACCATCATTAATAACCGGCTATATCAACTTACCCGATTAATCACAATTGGCGATATTATCCAGATATTTTTTCCCTTTTTGGGTGCGGACCAATTGTCCAGGAATCAGCGCGCCACTACTACGATCGGATCGATATTGATCTCCAAATTGATCTATCAGCGCCCATTTTAGTCCCGAGTTAAGGCGTTATTTTGGTGTCGTCGCTTCTATTCTAGCAGAACTCTCTAAAATGGCCATCAAGAATCTCCTTGGGTCGAAAACGATCCATTGAACAGCAAAAACGCGCATGTAAAAATTGAATTGTTGGTCGACAAAATCGAATTGCTGCGGAGCGTGTAGGCAATTGATTGACTGATTTGGTGGGTTTTGAAGGAATTTGCAAAAAATCACGTAAAAACACTAACTTTCGACGTTTGTACACAAACTAAGCAAAATTCGAAATTACTGTATTCCTAGAAAAGTGTTTAGTTTCACATCTAAGATCCCGTGCAAATTACATTATTACAAAAAAGAACCTGAAAAACGATTTGAAGTGAATTTAACATTTTTGAAAAACTCAAATATGTTCATATTTAGAAAAGTGGGTAATTTCTTCGCCGCAGTCTGTGTATGCATTTTCAATAAGTTCTGATACCGATTTTTCAAATAATTGCGAAAAACCACCTAAAACCACTAACTTTTGACATTTTTTGAAAAACCAAGCCAAAACTCAAATAAGTGTATTCTTTGGAAAGTGTCCAGTTTCATAGAAGCAAGTCGCGTATGAAATTCAAACCACGTTTGACTATAAATTTTGAAAAAAAAATTGTGAAAACATTAACCTTTGATGTTTTTGGAAAAACTTCAGAAGTGTATTCTTAAAAAAGTTTCGTTTTGCCCCTACAAGTCGCATGTGGAATTTTTACAGCTTCCAACTGCGGGTTTTACAAAAAATGTGAAAAACTACCCAGAAACAGTAACTTTTCACGTTTATGGAGAAACCAAGCAAAAACTCAAAGTGTATTTCTTGAAAAGTATCTGGTTTTACAACTACAAGTCGCATATGGAATTTAAATAACTTTTAAGAGGGGTTTTTAGACAAATTGCGAAATATCATGCAACACTAACTTTTTTCCGTGAACCTGTGCGAGCTCTACAAACCGAAATAACTGCAAAAACAGGCCAGTTTTGAGCGGTTTGAAAAATTTCAGAATTTCAATTGCCTCTATCTGCTCTAGTATGGTCTACTACTAGAACTGTTCAATGAAGTTTTTCATTGTGTGATCAAGTGCAGCGTGAAACGTGGTGATAACATGGAGGATAGGGCGCCAGCTTGCACAAAGCTGGTATGAATGTTTTCTAATCTATAAATCCATTAGCTCTGATTAAGCATTTTTTACATTTCTGATTTCAAGTAAGTTTTCCACAGATTTCCTGCTGTACTAAACACATTTTTTCTTTCTTTCCAGGTGGCGCTATGCAGTATTGGGTAAGTTTGGCACTACTTTGGCATTTTCATGAAATTGTTGTCTGTCCTATGTGATCGAGCAGAAACTTTGTGGGTTATTGTTTTATGAGCGGAGCCTTCTTATTAGTGTTTTAGTAATGTCTTAAATTATACGTCACTTCGATCGGAAGGAAGTGAGAAATGCAACCGATCAAAACACGCGCATGTGAACAGCAATACTGAGCCCTAACAATTCGGTAGAGGGTCTTAATTTGTTAAAATTGCTGAAAAGCCCTTCAAAATTACTGGCATAGATTGATTGATGGCAGCTATAAATACAAATGTCTAAGAAAATTTATCGAATTTTAGCTTGTGGTTTTTCGAAGTTGAACGTTTTGTTCTGCGCCTTGTGGCTGTCCAAACGAGTATTTTTGAGCATTTCTGAGACACAGCCCGAGGAAAGGAGACTTGCCATTGCCGTAACGTAGCCCTGGCTAACACTGTGTTGAAGTGCGCTTTTGAGTTGTGGGCACTCTCTGAGTTGATGAGTTATAACTCATTTATTAAGTGGATTAAAGCTCTACGAGACCCGAGACTGGAATTTTAACTGACTGAGTTACTGCGCCGGTGCGTTGAGTTGGCGCACCAAGCCATTTGCGTGTTTATTTCGAGGGAGGCGCGTTTTAAACTAGCATTAGATGGGTGAGTTACCTACCCGTTGTAGATGATGGTCTCCTCTTGCGCTTTCGTGTCGCTCACTTGCATGTGAGTGACGAGCAGTCCGTAGATGGGCGTGGACTCCGAATCCAAGGAAATCTCCATCTGGAGCGGCGTGCCAGGCGAAACATTCAGCTCGCCAGTGACCAGCCTGCCTGATTGGCGCACGCCAACAGTGATGTTGGGCTGCGGCGCCATCCCAATCAAGCTGGTGGTCGTTTCCAAGTCGCTAAACATCGAAAAGATTCCCTCACACACAAACAGCTTCGGACAGCTTGCGTGACTTACGTGGGTTCAACGAATCCAGGTGGAAAAACCTGCCTGCGAGCGATCACGTGGTCCTTGCTGATGGAACATTTCACGTTGAGGGTGTCCCGCGTGTCGTTTTCCATACGCTCCACGACGAGGGTCTGATAATAGATTTTCTTGCCCTGCAACAACAAAAGCGAATGGGGGATCGTGTGTCGCCCCCCCTAAAACCGACCGGTTCCTGATAAAATATGGCACATCCGGTGTCAGGTGAAATAAATACCCGGATTAGCATCCAGCAGGTTTTCCGGACAACAACAGATCCGGTATGCGGCCCGGCGAAATGAAATATTTTCCTTTAATTTCCTTTGTAAATAGCAAATTTCCCAAACGTATTCACTAATCAGGAAAGAAGTAGTTGTGCTGTGGAGCGGCGGCTTTTGCGGCGCCCCAGTTGACGAGGGTCCAAGTAAAACAAATTTATCATGTGGAATATAAAACGAATTGCTTGATTTATTGGGGCGGAATTTGGGACAGAAAAAAAACCTGTGAGGTCCTAAGTCGGTTTGAATCGGCCAATAGCCCTGTTGCCAAATTATGATGAGAATCTTCCAATTCAGACGTTGCCATTGCTTAGAGGTCTGCGCAGAAACCGTCGGTCTTACCGTTTGTTTATTCACAACGCGTGTTACTGCGCATCGGTAAACGTCATTGAGGTCCAGTTCAAGCACCGCCATTTTTCCAGTGGCGTCCGTATGGGGCCTGCAGGCGGGGTCGGGGTAGTCGCGCAGCCCCTGGATGTAGACGCTTTTCGTGTTGGGCAAAAGGGGCACTTCGACCCGCATCTGGTCTCTCGTGCATTGCACTGTTGGCTCGCCTGAAAAATAACCGTTGTTTTAACATAATTTAATAGGGCATGACTCTCAAATCAGTGTGGTGCAACTTTTTCTTTTTCACTCTCAAACGTCAAAATCGGCAACTGAAGGGGTGGGAAGCAAAACCGCATCAAAAGTCACAAAAGGTTTATTTAGAGAAATGAATCGTCAAAGTTTTCCTGCAGTGGAAAATTGTTAGTTTATAGTTAGTTTGTGTCATAGAGCGATTCAGCTTAAGGACCAAAACTTAACTACCATTCAAGAAGTAAATGCGTTTTTTATTACATTTAATAAAAGTACTTGGGTGGTTTGTCTTTGAATTAAAGCAGATTATCAAAAAATACAAAAAAACAAAGCGAACAATTTTTTCACAGAAATGAATGTTTAGCAGTACAACAACTAAATTTACTCGTAATCTGACAACAAAGCCATGTAATTATTATCTTGTTTTTCGACATTTTCAACTTGCAAAGCTTCAGCCGCCCCTTGGTTGATTGTGTTTTCTATTGTTGCGGCTTTGGCTCATGGGGAAGATTGGTGGGATGAAATCTAGCAACTTTTGTAAATTATCCCAGTTCTCATGTTTAATTTCCAGTGTTTCCAAAGTTTAAATTATTTGCTGGACGTCCAACAGTTTTTGAGCAGTTTTCTGACTGTGTGGAGAACCCGAGCTAACACTTAGGTCAGTTTTGCAACATATTGAGGTTTTGCCTCTAATCCCTTCAATTAAGGACACTTTCCTTCGGGCTAAGATTTTATTCCAGGAAGAATTCGCGTCATGCACATTGAGTCGTTAAGGAATGCATCGCGACCAAGTTCCTTACTCTCCATTACCCTTTAGGGCCCGGTAATAACCGTTCGCAGTGAACTCTCTTCGCATAGATTTTTCTGCATCATGAGCAGCGATAAAGTGGCGACATCGATTCCAAAGGCTAGTGAGCCATGCACGAGTGGCATTAGGGAAAATAGTGCAAAATGCCCAATCAGCTGCCACTAAACCTCTCTATTGAGTGTCTGGCTCTAGTTTATCGTCGAGTGGGCTGCGCTAACCACGCTTTTTTCTACCTTGGCCACAAACTGAATCACTTTCTTTTGTCAGCGCGCCCGCAATTGAAAGTAAAACACTTGCTAAATGAGCACGGGCCTCATTATGTACAGTTCGCGACGCAAAACATGATGTTTTTGGCCTAGTTTCCTGCGCTAAATTCCTATTCAATCCGCTTCAGTTAGTGCGCGTTCGTTCTAAAGCTTCCGAACTCGCCCAGCCTGTACAATTGATCGCGAAAAAAGCGCCTTCCCGCCCACTATCCATGAATTCGGAATTAAAGCATCCCCGAGCAGGAATTTCGCTGCCAAGACGGAGTCATATTTACCGACCTCTTGGCCTTTTGGTGAACTGGGGGCTCGTTTTTAAGTGGATTCCGTCGGTTTGTGCAACCAGCCGACCGGAAACTTATTCGCTCCCGATTTAAAAATTTTAAATCGGCCCAAAAAGCTGAAATTGGACTATTTTTCTTGCGGGTCAAGGCGGTCACCTCGCTAAAAACACAATCAATTCATAGAGAGCATGCAAGTATGCATAGCAAAATCGCGGAAATTGTGTGCACACAAAATACAGTCTTCTGTTGTCTACGAAATTAGAAAAATTATCGTCGTTTTGTGCAAGGGTGGCGTAAGATTATTGCAAAATTTTATGTTTTCCGTCCCGTTTTTGCTCATTT